GACCTGTCCGTCCTCCCTCGACTGACCTATCTCCTCCCTACCTCCCCACCTACACTCACCTTTACTGGCTCCATCCCCGCCTCTTTGACCTGTCTGTCTCCTCTCCACCTATCTTCTCCTCTATCCATCTTCTATCTGCCTCCCCCTCTCTCCCTATATATTTCAGAACCCCCTTCCCCTCCCCCATTTCTGAAGTAGGGTCTAGGCCCGAAACGTCAGCCTTCCTGCTCCTCTGATGCTGCTTGGCCTGCTGTGTTCATTCAGCTCTACACCTTTGTTATTTCAGATTCTCCAGCATCTGCAGTTCCTACTATCTCTGAAACTTCTTTTTATTGCTGAATGGATTCTGTTTAAAATAATTTATTCTTTGGTTTTTGTGAAGGCTGTTCCATGATTTCACCTGTTTTTGAAATGAATGGAAATGTGAGACTATTGGTAACATTTCCTTTTTAGGCAATGGTGAAGATCAGAACTTATATAAATCTGGGAAGGAAGTACAAAGGTTTCTAACATTTCTATTTCTATTTGTGTAAAGAAAAAAATCTACGTGTCCTGAAAATAACCAGTTAATTACTTTTGAACTACAGTCAATATTGGTTTTAGGCTGCTGTGACAGCAAGGTCCCAGAAACAAGAGGAAAATAAGTTAACAGCCAACCTCTTATGTCTTCCAATGTTATTGCAAAGTGTGGGTTGGGCTCATTTACATTTTCTGGGGAAGTGTCTACACCATGGTGACGCTGCAGGGGAACTCACCGACCAGAACGGATTTGGGTTGCGGTGGTGAAAGTAACAATGGCAATTTACTGTTGTTCAACCCATTAATTGTAGGGCCAAGTATGATTACTCTGAATAGTGTGTAACATTGGCTGTTATTAAGGTGCATCAAATGGAATTCATGGGGGTGATTGGTGATTTCCCAGAAATCTCCTGAAAGGGAGAAAAGTTAAGCATAAGAAACTCTCTGCTGCTCACTCCCATCCCTACGCAAGGGGAGGAAATTCTTGGCCAATCTGACAAGATTTGGAGAGGGAGTTTCAGCATGTGAAGTCTGGATGGTCGATATCACTGCCATTAATGGTAGGAATGCAGAGATGTCCAGGAGGGAAAGGAAATATTTTGGGGTTTATTCTGTTGCTGGAGGTTACAAATATAGGGCTACTGGAGGGATTTAAGTCACATTTTGAAGTATTGTGAGTCTGGCATTCAATGTGTTTTCTTCTATTCATTCATGGTATGTGGATGTCACTGGCTAGGCCAGCATTTCTTGCCCATCCCTAATTGCCCTGGAGAAAGTGGAAGTGACTAGGCTTCTTGAACAGCTGAACTCCTTGGGGGTGTAGGTGCAATCATATTGCTGTAGAGAAGGGAGTTCCAGGATTTGATCCTGTGACAGTGAAGAAATGGAGGAGTATTTCCAAGTCATGCCAGTGAGTGGCTTGGAGGATGTGCAAATAGCTGTGTCCCCATATATCTGTTGCTCTTGTCCTTCTAGATGGTTGCATGTGTAGAAGGTGCTGTTGGAGCAGCCTTGGTAAGTTACTGCAATGCCTTTTGTCGATTAATACTTGCCAAACTTTTTCCGTTGTGATCCTACTTAGTGGTTGCAATAAATTTTGAGACTCAGTGAGGAAAATATTGAGGGGTAAGTAGACCTGTTAAAATGAAGGGGTGGAACTGTCTATCTGTCTGTTAGACTGGAAGCAAAGCTGTTATTACAGACATTGCAGCTGCGGAGCTTGTGGCCCTGAAATTTCAACTTGTGATCCTATTTGGAGTCCTGACCCCCTGCTCTGGGAAGTCTTATTGGCGATGGTACACACTGCTGTCTCTGTGTTTTGGTGATGAAGGAAGTGAATGTTGAAGGTGATGGATCGCGTGCTAGTCAGGCAAGCTGTTTTGTCCTGAGTTGTGTCAAGCCTCTTGAGTGTTGTTGGAGCTGCACCTATCTAGGCAAGTAGAGTCTCCAGTCAAACTCCTGATTTTTACATTGAAGATAATGTACAGGCATGCAGTGAGTTACATGCCACAATGTTCTTAGTGTCTGACCTGCTCTTTACAGATTTATATGGCTGGTTCAGCTCGGTTTCTGGTAAGTGGTAACCGCCAGGATGTTGTTAGTGGTTGATTCAGCAGTGGTGATGCCATTGAACGCTAACTGCTGATGGTTAGAGTCTCTTTTATTGGAAATTTTCACTGCCTGGCACTTCTATGGTGTGAAGTTTCTTGTCAATTGTCAGCCCAAACCTGAATATTGTCCAGGTCTTGCTGTATGGGAACAGGGACTGCTTCAATATCCAAGGAGTCACAAATTCTGCTGAACATTGCGCAGTCATCAGTGAAGATCACCGCTTCTGACCTTGTCATGGAGAAAGGCCATTGATGAAGATGGTTGGGCGTGGGACACGACCCTGAGGAACATCTGTAAAGATGATCTGAAACTGAAATGACTGATCTCCAACCACGACAACCATTTTCTTTTGTGACAGATATGACTGACTGCAGAGAAATTTCCCTTGATTTGCACTGATTCCAGTTTCGCCCAAGCTCCTTGATACCACATTTGGTCAAATATGGCTTTAATGTCAAGGACAGTCATTCTCACCAGACTCCTGGAATTTAGCTCCTTTGATCATGTTTGAGTTAGGGCTATGATGAGGTCAGGACCCATGTGGTTCTTGCAGAACCCAAACTGAGTGTTAGTGAACCTATTCCTTTGAAAGAGCCTCTTGATATCACTGTTAATGACCCCTTCTACTACTTTGTTGATGGAGAGTAGGCTGGCACAGTATTTGGCCAAGTTCAATTTTTCCTCCTCTTTGTGCATGTGACATATCTGGACCATTTTTCACATTATTGGATACATTGTAGCTGTACTAGAATATCTTGGCCAGGTGTGTAGTAAGCTGTGGAGCACAAGTCTTCAGTATCGTCGCCAGAATATTGTCAGGTCTGTAGCATTTGCAGTATCCTTGTGCCTTTAGTAGTTTGGTGATTATCATGGGGAGTGAATTGAATTGGTAGAAAATCTGGGATACTTGGGACCACAGACAAAGGTGGAGTTGGATCATCCATTGAGTACCTACAGCTGAAGATGAATGTAAATACTTCAGCTTGGTCTTTAATAATGTGCTGGGCTAGCCCCTGTCATTGTGAAGAGGATATTTGTGCAGGCTTATCCTCCTGTTGGTTGTTTCATCATCCACCATGATTCATGACTGGATGTGCTGAGACTGCAGAGCTTGGATC